GTTAACTTTGAAAGTAATTTTCAAGTATGTAAAATTTTATTTTAAATTTAATTAAATTTTAAAATAATTCTAAATTTAATGTGTTTTTGTTATTAATAATTGAAATTTTCAAAGTTTAATTTGGTTTTCAAATTTTTATTGATATTGAGTACGTATGTAAGTAGAGTATGAGTAAGTAGTTCAAAGTTTTATTTATTTGAGATCTACATTGTTTCTCGACTGCATGTGGACCTAAAATGTTTACCAAAAGAGTTACATACAAAAAACTGATTTTCATTTCTCTGACTTATGTAATTTTAGGGCTGGTAAAATTTTCAGATTTTAGACTGTCAAGTTGTCGCAGATAACGCTACAAAACAAAATTGAGTTTATTGGGATGTGCAGTTTTGAATACAGTCGATTTACATGTATTCACATGTGATAGGTACACTTTTTGCTCTGGTAAAAATATAAGGCACGTCTGTGAAGGAGTCACTTCGAATAACACTGATCTTTCTCATCTTATGAAATATTAAAAAATTATAGTTGAGAAAATTTATAGTTAATAATTGTATTTTCTCAGACTCGTTGGTTTTATCGGGATTCCTAATCAACTTTACACTTGTAGCTAAAATTACCAACTCTTAACATGATATTTAATATTCATGAACTGAGAAACCCACGTAACACAGATAAAATATATGTATATATATTTAATATTTAATCCGTAAAACATTATTCTCAAGTCTTTGCGTTTCATGAAAATATTTGTACTTATATTTATATGCACCTTAATGTAGGGTTTGAAATAAATTTGCATCGTCGCAGCAAGCTTTACTTTCACACATCTGTAATTTAAAAAAATAATCTAAATCTGTTTTCCCTTCAACTAACATTCACTTTCACATTATTTTAGCTTATACTTTTTTTTATTTCAAACTGCTCTTCGATTGAAGTGTGATATTATTTCAATAAATTTAGCTCAACCTACATTTCCGTCTCCAGTTAAATATTAACCGATCGCTCAAGTCGTCAAATAATGTCTAAAAGTGTTTGATATAAAAATAAAGTGTTTAAAATTTTTCTCTTAATTTTTATCTCTTTTATAATGATTTATGTGTAAATAGAGCTAGTTTGATGGTAGATTACGGATGATTTAATGAATTGTCAAACACTTGTAAACATTGCCGTGCTGCATTTTTTGTAACGTTTGGAAATTTAACTGAAACTCAGACTCAAAAAATATTACATGCACAGTAAAATATATATCAGAAAAAGGGGTGGGCGGCGCGCGTTGATGCCACCACTCAAAATTTAAAATTCCAATCGCGCGATCCATTACACACGCTCGGAGTAAAAAAAATGCAGATAAGCGCAGTCCCGCATGCTTTATTTAGCCGCGATTTCTTCTGGCACACGATCCTCAAGCTACCGGAGCCCAGTATATATATACCTATACTCTGCGCTTGGCTTATCTCAACGGGCGATCTGCCGCCAATGCTCTGGAAATTCTTGTTTCGGGAGTCCTAATTTTTGTAAATTGGCCGAGAAGTAGATCGATGGTGGCGTATATTTCGGTAGCAGGTCCTTTTCGTGGCTTCGGTCGGCTCAACCTGTATTTTATAAACTATACATTCGCACATTCGATTTAAAGGAGGGCATATACACCAATACAAAGCACGCTCGTGGTATTGATTCCAGACACTTGAAATCGAAAAATATTAAAGATGAAGTCCACAAATTTGCATTGTTTTGTTTGTTTAAATAAAAATTAGTTCATCATTCGTGCAAAGCGTTCATGAAAATGTGCTGATGAAATTTTACTATTTTCAGCTGCTGCGTAATCGTGAGCCATCGAGGGATGATGAATGTGTGGGCCCTCCACCACTGCCACACATTTAATTTTTTTTCACCTGCTGACGTCACTAGATTGCACGAGCACACGTGCACACAACCTTTAAAACTGACCCTACCCGCTCCCATCATGTGAAATAAAACGGAGGACCTCATGTGCGAGTTTCATGTTTTGGCGTATCGGAGTCAGCAGTTGATTTGTTCTTGTGTGGTGGACGTCCACGAAAGTGGCGTGAGAAAGAAAACATCTTCCAATGAAAGGGTAAAAAGCGTTTGTTGATCCACCAGGGCGTATATTGTGTAGGTAGTCGAAAAGTTGTAGGGGCGAAAAAAGTGCATTAGCTTCGTTACAAAGGTACGAAATTTCGTCGAAGAAAGTGGAAAAGAGTTCCCTAACTCGTTGAACAGAGTTGAAATCAGTTTGTTCTCTCTGTTGGTCAAACATTTGACTCTGACTCGTGAACACGCGGATCTGGAGACGGGAAGAATGTCGGGCGGTTGGGAGAGAGGAAGAAAAAAATAACTGGGAAATGTACGGGCACTGGAGTTTCATACTCGCCCGAGCGGATGGAATTTTATTTGACGAGCACTTGATGTCCGTAGGATGGTCGGCCCGAGCTTGTGCGACCTGTGTGCGCGAGTGTTTGCGCGGTCGAGTGACGGAGGTTGAAAAAAAGAATGGAAAAATTTAAACTAGGAAATAAAAAGAAAAAAAATAAATAAACAGAATGGATGACCATTAACACTCTGTGGTCTCGCTGTGGAGGCGGAGAATCGTTGCGTCGTATAATCGTTCGAGCATACGCTCAAATAGAAACGGAAGGCGGAAGAAAAAGTTTATCCAGAGTGTAGAAGGATCTTTCTTTTGCTCAATTTTTGGCATGGTATACGTTTGATTGTTAACTTTTGTTTTTTTCTTCTTTTTTTGCATGAAATTTTTATGAAAAATTTGTTGTTGACGCGAGCCTAAATCATCAAGATTTCGGTTTTTTTTTTGTTGTTTCATTCAAACGAATGCCATTGCGTCAAAACGAGCGACACTTCAAGATGTAAATGTAAGACTTGCGATTCAGTGACTTTTCGAATTACTGTCGTGTCAATGAGTTGTGAACTAATTGCAGTTATTAAAATGCTTTTAAAATTCGCACTATTGAAAAAAAAAAGTCATTTGTATGATTTCTCATGATGATCACCTCATCGATATGACTGTTCGATCCATAACTGTAATTCAATTTCTCAAAATTTTGATCAGCGTATCAAATGTCTGTGTCTCTAAAATGTAAATATACATGGTGAAAAACACAAAACATAATGTTCCAATAGTCACATAATCAGACTACTAAAAAAAAACTGTTTGTTCGATCATTAACTCATTACTCGTTAGTTTTAGGTGATTTTATTAAGACAACTGTATTTAATTCTAATAAAGTGTTGATGTACACGAAGATTAAAGTGAGTACCGTACAACCATAGATCCTTTTGTATTATTCCCTGTAGTGGCTTTTATGTTGCATTTCATGAGGTGGAGAATTAACTGACTTTAAATTTATTAAATAAATCCTGAAGGACTCGACGTTATGTTTTCTTTTGAATGAATTCATGTAAATAAGTGATTGTAAAAGTACCTCATGCACCTCATTTCCTAGCTCTTATTACACGAAATCGAGGTCTATGCAAGAGTAGCAACTATCATGCATGGCTACAGACAAGGACTTGATAATTTCATGTGTTTTCAACGCGTTTTGAATTTTACTCGATTTTAATAATTTTTGACGTCCAAAAACTTTCACATCTCAGAGATAAATAACCGAATTCGAAAAGTTAAAAATGGAAATCGTAGGGAAAAACCTATACTACACGATAAAATTATCTAGTAGACGCAAGAAAATCAATGAAAGCAAATAAAAATGTATATTTTTAAACATTGAAAAAAGGATTACCTAAAATCCTTAGGTGATTTTCGAATGTGAAATGTCATGCGTAATTGACTATGACTAAACATATGGTAACGAGGTAAGTATCTTTTCAAAGAAAATTTTGACTTTCAATTTAGTTAACGACTTAGATAAAACAGTTATTTTTTTCTGAGTACAACTAGTCATCAATGAATAATTTATAAGAGAAACATAATGCTAAACGACTTGAAATATCAATGACAGGCTATACACACATATCTATACCTACGACTTTACAGAGTTTTGGTAATTCGTAAGTAAGTCGTCTATGACGAAACGACTCGAAAAAAATACATTTATTTTGGTAAGAGAGTCTTTTACAACAACTAGTTTTTCTTTCATTTTTTTTGCTATAATTTTATTTTTATCATAAGAGAGTAATAAATTATGTCATCAATTGTAGAGCT